GCAAGATGTAAGCTTTATCCAGTTTTACAGGTGATACTTCAGGCTTAGCAAGAAAGGATGCAGTTTACCTAAGGTATTTAAGTGATAGTACTAGGATTTGAAATTAGATGAGGCCCATGTTCTGAAACCTATGTTCTTTTTAGGGCATCACAGAAGAAAGAAAGTAAAGAGGAACTATCAGTTGGTAGGAGCCAAGACCAGCAGGCTTTCTAAAAAGAGACCAGACCAACACTGCACACTCCATTGAACCACATGGTTTTGGAAGAAAGGTAGAGAAGGAAGTTCTCTCTCCCACCAATTAAGTTCTTCTGTGTTTTTTTTTTTTTCTTCCAGTTTTACTATAGAGTGTGTATGCTCCCAGGAGCTCAGGAGAGAGAGAGAGAGAAGGGGGGGGGGGAGTGAGAAATCATCCCTCCAGTTTGAGTGGACTCCTGATATAGCACCCATACTGTTTAAGGGACCCACCAGAGGTCCAAAGATCTTGAGAGGGCTTGGTAACACTGCAATCTCTTCTCCATTATCCTTCTGGGATTTGGGGCATGCATGCACAGGCATCCAGTGCATTTTTCAAGTCTCCAGGTCCAGGACTTGAATTATGCAGTTGGCCATGTGGGATCCAGCTGGCTTAACCACCACACCAGCTGGCCCCCATCAATTAAACTCATAAACCTGTCCTGGGTCAGCAGGTGGTATGGTAGTTAAGGCGCTGGACTCCCACATGGCCTACCATGGTTTGAATCCTAGACCTGACGACTTGTTTTCTCACTTTGTCTCTTTCACTGTCTCTCTCCAGTGAGTACACATGTCTAATAGCAAATTAAAAAAAAAATAATAATATATAAAATTAAATAATGAGAGGGCAGTTATCTCCCCTGGAGATATTTCAGACACCTTGAGGATGCTATGCTGATATTCAACGAGCTATCACCTGAAGCAGCTTAAGAGACAGCAGTATGTTGAAGCTGGAGAAGCTCCAGTTTGAGTGGATTCCTGATATAGCACCCATACCATTTAAGGGGCCCACCAGAAGTCCAAAGATCTTGAGATAAAGAACGCCTGGCTTTTCAGTTCAAAATACAGAAATTTTTCCGGGGACCCAAGAAAAGCAAGAGGAGGGTTGTTATAAAAGGCTAACAGAGCCAGTGGTGTGCAAGTAGTGTGGGAAAAGCACATGCATAAAAAGACTTCTAAAGGCTTCTGGTTCCAATGTTGATATTTGCAATCTGAAAAACAAAAACCACTTTAATTTACCTCCAGGGCAGATGAACCTGTTTTAGGATCTGCAAAGAGCAGCCTGAAGCTCAGCGTCCAGGAGGGGTGGAGCAGCATCCCAGAAAAAAGACTCAAATATTACACAAAACACAAAGGTCTAAGGAAGGAAAGAGAAAAGTACTCACCATTCTACCGTGGCGAGGGTCCTGGATGCCTGCTTCTCACTACAAGGAGACAGAAGAACATAAGAGTAAAGAGCACCATTAACATCACCATAGAATCAACTAATGTTACATGTCTACCCCTGAACTTCTTCCTCTACAATTCTTACTCTCCTCCTTCATGGAGAACCCAGCCTCTCCACAAATGACCATGCCAGACAGGCCATGTGAAATACGTGGGGAGAAAGCAACAAGTGATTTTGCAGGGCCTAGAGTCAGCCACCAAGTTATGAAGCAGGAAT